CCGAAACCCTCAAAAGCCAACAGAGGCCGAGGAGGGACGTCGAGAAAGACCTCCCAAAGGGCCAACCAGGCAGCAGACCCTGAAGCTCTGTCTACTCTCCAGCGCGAGTTGGATGATATGCGCCATCGGTTGCGGACAATGGAAGAAATGTACGCCGAGGCAACGCGTGCTAACCGAACTGCATCTCCCTCTATAGCCCCGAGAGCACCTGGTGAAAAGGGAGCTCCATCTATCCAACCTGGCGATCGCGAGCCCATTCCTAACGATGAAGGGGTGGATTACAGCTTGCGAGACAATGATCTTAGAAAGCACCTCACTGATAAGAAGAAGAAAGCCTCTTGGGAACCGGAAGACTCTATGTCCTACTCCCGAGAGTTCTCCAACTCAAACCTGAAGGCTCAATCGAAGTACAAGCCTCTAATACCAGAAGCCGTGAACACCAGGGAAGAATTCGACCTGATGAAACACAGGTTCGATGAGCAGGTCGAGGCACTTAAAGCCAGGTGCGAGAAGAAGGAGAGCCCGTTTGACGATGGCGACTTGGGAGAATCGCCATTCACCTCGGATATTAGGGAGGCTCCAATCCCTCCGAAGTTCAAGACTCCCACCATGAAGCCCTATGATGGGTCTAAGGACCCCAAAGACTATGTTGAGGTCTTCGAGGGCCTCATGGATTTTCAAGCGGCAACGGATGCGATCAAATGCCGCGCCTTCCAGATCGCGCTCACCGGCAGCGCGCGCCTATGGTACCGGAGACTGCCGGCCAGGTCGATCTCGACCTACTCGCAGCTGAGAAAGGAATTCATTGGTCAATTCTCCTCTCGGCATTACGATAGAAAGACAGCAACTCACCTCGCCACCATTAGACAGAAGGAAGGCGAGACGCTGAGAGAGTATGTCACAAGGTTCCAGGAAGAGCAGCTGAAGGTCGTGCACTGCTCCGATGATTCGGCCATGTGCTACTTCCTCACCGGCCTGGCCGATGAGACCCTCACTGTGAAGCTCGGAGAGGAGGCTCCCTCAACCTTCGCCAAAGTCCTACAGAAGGCAAAGAAAGTTATTGATGGGCAGGAGCTCCTCCGAA